GGTCCCATTCAGCAAGGAACAGCTGTGATTTGTTTCCAAAGCTGGTAAGTTCCCCTCAGGCAGTGACTTTTGAAAAGGGGGATAAAAATGGTTTCCATTCCTTCTGAGCACTCTCCAGATCCTTTGCTGTACTCTCACATTTAACCCAAAGCTGTGAGAGCACCCTATTTACTCTGAAACTGCACTGCTTTAATGGAGCTTTGGAGAGGGTAGTTTCTAAGAATTTCATGTCACGTTGTTCCCACCCCTTTGCCATTTACTGCAATTGAACCCTCAGTCACTCTGCAGTGGAATCAGCCAACAAGGAATGGCTACAAAACTGAGAGCTTCCTTTGTCTATGAAGACCCAACTTGAGCTGTTCTAATGTGTAAGGGAACCCATCCAAGATTCTGAATGAGTGGGTTTGGAGTGTACACCATTACAGACTACAAAATGCTTATTGTGATGGTCTGCTAGAGGTATACTGTGTTACATTTTGAGAAACACTTGAAGCCACAGAGCTATTTCTCTTTCAAACATATTGACATGACAGATGTGAATAAAAAAGCACATACAATTAAGAAGCCCATAGCACACCCAAATTCTCTGAGAAGCTAGTCAAAACCTAGGGAAAAAAAAACACTAATATCAGCCTGTATCAGTATTAATGACTCAACAATATGACAGCTGTGAATAAAATTCAACTGAGAATAAAATTCAACTGCAACAATACAACTTTTCTAGGAATCTCCCCAAAGACACAGCAGGCCAAAATAATATGGAGAAATTATTTTTCCTAAGATTTCACTGTACGTAACACAGCAGTAGAGAGACAGACACTATACTGCAGCTCTAAAATAGGTTTTCTGTTTAATCTCAGAGGCTATATATCAAGTTCTTGTCTGGGATTTGATCTAAAAAACTACTTTTAAAAGTTTTTTTGTTTATTTTTTTATTTTTATTTATTTATTTTTTTTGGGGGTCCAGTTGTGGGGCCTGAACTCTGGGCCTGGGCGCTGTCCCTCAGCTCTTCAGCTCAAGGCTAGCGCTCTACCACTTGAGCCACAGTGCCACTTCTGGTTTTCTGGTGGTTTATTGGAGATAGGAGTCTCACGGTCTCTCCTGCCCGGGCTGGCTTTGAACCACGATCCTCAGATCTCAGCCTCCTGAGTAGCTAGGATTACAGGTGTGAGCCACCAGCGCCCGGCTAGGAAGGTGTTTTTATTGTCTGGTTTGGTTTTAATAGCTTTTTCTTTTTTTTTGATGGACTTCATATATCTGATCACAGCCAGTTAGAAGACACAGGAGAAGAGAAAATTCCAGTTACACAGAAATAAATTTTAAACAAGAAAACAATATCACAGCAAAAAATTAATGACAACTCTGAAAAACTTTCATGAGGTCATCCTCAAAACACTCCTGAAAGGCACAAAAGTATTTAACAACAACAACAACAAAAAGAGGATTCAAAACTAAAAGAACTTCCCATGTAGGTGTAACCCCTCTGTACAGTATATTCACAATAAAAAAAAAACTAAAAGAACTTAACTCTTAGCCACCAAATTTTCTTTTTTTTTTTCCTTTTTTCTTTCTTTCTTTTTTTTTTTTTTTTGTTGGTTGTGGGGCTTGAACTCTGGGCCTGGGCATCCCTCAGCTCTTCAGCTCAAGGTGAGCGCTCTACCGCTTGAGCTACAGCGCCACTTCTGGATTTTTTTTTTTATTGTAAAGATACTATACAGAGGGTTACAGTTACATGAGTAAGGTAATGAGTACACTTCCTATTGAGCTTAATAGCTATTTTTAAGGCTTTTTTTTTGTGTGTGCCAGTCTTAGGGATTGAACTCAGGGTCTGGGCACTGTCCCTGAGGCTCTTGTGCTCAAGGCTAGTGCTCCATTACTTGAGCCACAGCTCCACTTCTGGCTTTTGGCTGGTTAATCGAACTAAAGATTCTCATGGACTTTTCTGCCCAGGCTAGCTTCAAACTGTGATCTTCAAATCTCAGCCTCCTAAGTAGCTAGGATTACAGGTATGAACCATTGATACCCAGCTTAAGACTTTTTTTTAATGTGTTGTTTGTAAGGTGACACTCAAAACCTATCACCCTTTGATAATGTAGAGAGTTTCTGTTCCTATCTCAGAAGGAAAAGGAAAGACCTTACTTAAGGAACATTAAGACAATAACCATCAGAGAGAAAGGATTTTAATAAACCTACCAGGAGGTGTGCAAGCATCTGCAGGAGACTGGACAAACGTAGACCGCCTTTTGGTGGGCATGGGCAAAGCCATTTTTTGTTCTTTGTGTTTTGCCAGCGCAGCTTGAACTGCTTCAGTGTGGATATCTGAAAAGTTAAACATTTACATTTATTTGCATTTACGCTGACCTGTACACTGTAGAGCCCTGAGGTAGCACTGCCTCAATTGTTAAAAAAAGGTAAAGTGAGACTGGTTGCAGCAGCTCATGCTGGGATTGTAACCCTAGCTCCTCAGGAGGCTGAGATCTGAGGTTCGCGGTTCAAAGCCAGCCCGGGCAGGAAAGGCCATCAACTCTTATCTCCAATAAACTACCAACACTCCCACCCCCAAACACACACACAAAAGGATAGGAAGTGGAGCTGTGGTTCAAGTGGTAGTACTAGCCTTGAGCAAAAAAGTTCAGGCATAGTTCCTAGGCCCTGAGTTCAAGCCCCAGGATCGGCATAAAAGCAAAAAACCGAAACAAATATAAAAATATGGTTTATATATTTATTTTGATGTGGACTAATTATAAACAAAAATTGAAACAAAAGAAATAAAGGATAATTTCAGAAGAAGTTATAATGACTATGCTACTGCTACACACCGACAAGGGGTTGACTGTGCCAGGTATCAGTGCCATGCAGAATCTCACCTCTAATGAAATGCACCCTGTACAAGTGTCCAGAAGAGACTCATCATTTAAAAAATAAACAAGCAAACAAACAAAAAAAGCAGCAACTTAGGGTTTACTTAACTGTTTGAAAGAAAACCTGGCTGAGATCCCTAGAAAGATCAAGTGTAGCCGGGCACTGGTAGCTCACACCTGTAATCCTAGCTACTCAGGAGGCTGAGATCTGAGGATCACAGTTCAAAGCCAACCCAGGCAGGAAAGTCTGTGAGACTGTTATCTCCAATCAACTACCAGAAAACTGGAATTGGCACTGTGGCTCAAATGGCAAAGTACTAGACTTGAGCTGAAGAGCTGAGGGACAGCGCCCAGGCCCAGAGTTCAAGCCCCACAACTGACGAAAGAAAAGAATAGAAAAGAAAAGAAAGAAAGAGAGAAAGAGAGAGAGAGAAAGAGAGAGAAAGAGAGAGAGAGAGAAAGAAAGAAAGAAAGAAAGAAAGATCCAAGTGTAGCTGCTACTTGTTTATGACTCTTGCCACAAAAAAATGCCTCTCTACTTTCAGGTCTAATAGGAATCTGGAAATTATCATACTAGACAGATCTTAATTCTCCACCTTCACTGCAAACTAACAAGGTATTTTTATGTTTATACACACACACACACACACACACACACACACACACACACACATATTGTAAGAACCTCTTACAGAGTCCTCTCTACTGAGATAGGAAATGACCAAAATGGCTTCCCAGTTCACAATTTCTTCCTGTTCAGGAAGCCTTCTGTGCTTTGTAAATGTACCTTTAGAAGAGTTGGGCCAATCAAATCCTTCTTTGGGGAATTTAAACTCAAATCAAGAAACTGAAGGACACAGAGCTGAATCACTTTAATGGCAATGACTTGGAAGGAAGAAAAAATTTTGAACTTCAAGGTAAGATATTATAGTTTTTGTCCTTTCTCAAGATTTTTTAGCTGTTTGATTTGCTTCTGTGACCTACCCAAATTATTTAAGGCTCTAAATTCAAGCCCTAGTACTGGTACAAAAGAAAGTAAGATATTGCTAAATTATCATACTATTACTTTTTATGGGGGAAGACAGTCTCTCTTTATAACCTAGACTAGCTGCAAGCTTGCAATCCTCCTGCTCAGCCTCCCAAGTGCTGAGACTGCAGGCATGTACCACTATACACCACCTTGAGCTTTCACTTTAAGACCACAGTGCCAACTTACTTTGAAGTTATAAACAAAATAAACTTTACTGCATTTATATTTAATATACTATTTTAGCATCCCCAAGGTAAACTTAGTGGACTCAAGATTGCCATACTTTATTGAATTTATATCATTATCAAATAGAACATATCCATAATGTCAAACTAGAAGAAACAGTTCTTAGTTTTTTTAGGAAACAAATAATTAAACAATTACACTAAGGAAAAGTGCTTTCTCAGTAACAGACTGACAGCAAATCAAAGACTTGTATTGGACTTTTGTGTGGCGCCAGTGGCTTCTGTCTACATTCCTAGCTACTCAGGAGGCTGAGATCTGAGGTCTGCAGTTGGAAACCAGACCAGGCAGGAAAGCCTATGAGACTTATCTCCAATAAACTACTCAGAAAAAGCTGAAAGTGGCATTGTGGCTCAAGTAATAGAGTACTAGCCTTGAGTAAAAAGCAGCTCAGGGTGAACACCTAGGCCTTGAGTTCAAGCCCTAGGACCAGAAAAAAAAAAGTACATTTATAAAAATGTGACAGGCAACATGCAACAGAAAACCTGATAAACCGAAGGAAATATTCATATTGAGAAAGCTTTAGAAAGCTCATAACATTTGTAAAATTAATATTTATGGAGTATGTTGTTCCATGCCCCAAGTTAAAGCATCTGAGTCTGAACAAATCCAACCACCCAACTGTTTTCTAACATGACAGAACTTTGCCCATACAAAAGATGTTCAGTTACTCTATTAGCCAAGATTGCCTTTGATAAAACAGGCAGCCCTCTTAACTAGATTTGACTCATTCACCAGCATACAATTAATCTTGACCTTTGATAAATCGCTTCCGAACTTGAGTCCCCAGACAAAGCTGACTTTGGGTTTCTGTGCCAGGAGCAGGTAGAAGTTGGATATTATTTTCCAAGATTATGTTTATGTTTGAGCTGAACAAGGTGATACAAATACTCCTTGAAAGTCTTTTTTCTTTTCATGCTGATTTGTTTGGGGTGGCTAATTTCTCAAAAGATTAACATCAAAGGAGTTATCAGAATGACTTATAGAAAGATCATTTTCAACCTTAAGCATTAATTCTATGCTTGACAATTCCACATATCTAGTAAAAGAAAAAGAGATACTAAATATGCAGCATATCTAAAATGTAGGACTTGAGCCAGGTAACAGTGGCTCATGCCTGTAATCCTAACTACTCAGGAGGCTGAGATCTGAGGATTATGGTTCAAAGCCAGCTTGGGCAGGAAAGTCTGTGAGACTCTTATCTCCAATAAACCACTAGAAAACCGGAAGTGGTGCTGTGGCTCAAGCAGTAGAGCGCTCGCTTTGAGCTGAAGAGCTGAGGGACAGCACCCAAGCCCAGAGTTCGAGCCCCACGATTGACCAAAAAAAAAAAATAATAATAAAATAAATAAATAACACGTAGGACTCCTCTACTGGCTAAGCTCCAAGAACAGATTAAGGCTGGATTATATAAATTCCAAATAAATATAAACTTATTATGGTAGTTTGAAACATTGTATTAATAAGCTTCTACAAAATGAAAGCTTTTTCAAGCCATAGACACCAGCATTATTAAGTCCTTTCTTTGTGCCATCACTTTATTCTAAAGTTTTACTAAACATGTCCTATGTTCTTATATTATTTTTGCAAATGTCATGTAAACATAACCTTTCCTAGGAAGGATTAGAAAGGTGGAAATTCAGCTCCCATCAACTTCTACAACTTATATCTCTGGTTCAGAGATACCAGAGATTATTAATTTCTCCAATGTGCTGAGATTTCACTTGCTACTTAGTTGAGCAATCCCTAATACAATGAAAAGTGTGATGCTTTTCACCTCAGACCAATGTTTGATGCCCCCCCTTTTTTTTTGCAGGTCCTGGGGCTTGAACTCATCTCTGAAGTTTATTTTGGTCAAGGCTAACACTAGTCTTGAGCCACAACTCTACTTGCAGTTTTTCTGGTAGTTCATTAAAAACAGAAATCTCATGGGCGGGGCTGGGAAGGTGGCTCAGTGGTAGAACGCTTGCCTTGCATGCATGAGGCCGTGGGTTCGATTCCTCAGTACCACATAAGCAAAAAGAAAAAAGCCAGAGGTGGCACTTTGGCTCAAGTGGTAGAGCGCTAGCCTTGAGCTGAAGTCCAGGCCCAGAGTTCAGGCTCCATGACCGGAACAGAAAGAAAGAAAGAAAGAAAGAAAGAAAGAAAGAAAGAAAGAAAGAAAGAAGGGAGGGAGGGAGAGAGAGAGAGAGAGAAAGGAGGGAGGGAGGGAGAGAGAGAAAGAAAGAGAGAAAGAAAGAAGGAGAGAGAGAAAGGAAGAAAGAAAGAAATCTCATGGGCTTTCCTGCCTGGGCAGGCTTTGAACCATTCTCCTCAGATCTTAGCCTTCTAGGAATAAGGTGTGAGCTACTGGCACCCAGCTTGCATGCCTTTTTCATGGTCCCCTCATGCCAGCATACAAAACTCTCAGTTTTCAGTATCTTCACAATGTTTTTAGGAAATCACCTTTTCTTTTCTACTTTACCCCTTCTTTCTGCGCTCACTAGCATTCTTCCCCCAAATAAATATCCAAACCTGACTACTAAATCAGCACTCATGCACCTAATCAAATATCTGCTTTATAGATCATAAGTTCTAGTAACTGGGATAATCTGAAAGCATTGATACAAAAGAACAGGGACTACAGACCATAGCCAGGTTTCTGTAAGTGAAAGTCAAAACAACACTGCCTGATGAGCTTACAAAGTGTTTTCTATACGTGATCATCTTGGACACTGAGAATCATCTTTTGAATTTGAGTCCATTTATGTATGATAAACAGATATATGAGAAAGAAAGAAAAACAACACAAAACTTTCAGAAGGCCAGGGATGAGTAATAAAGGCTAAAACCCTTCTGTGCTGGTTAGAGCTTTGGCCCAGCCTCAGGAAGCAACACTGGTACCTAGGAAATCAGGCTTGGGTATCAGAAAACAAGCAGAAGTTTGGAATGTGCTTACCTCCTTCTAACACATTCCTTAATCAAAACTACTTTTTTTGGGGGGGGGGGTGGTTGTGGTGATTTTTAGGTTTGAACTCAGGTTCTAGGTGCTATCCTTGAGCTCTTTTGTTCAAGGCTAGCATTCTATCACTTTGAGCCATAGTGCCAGCTTCTGGTTTTTGAGTGGTTAATTGGAAAGAAGAGTCTCATGGGGACTTTCCTGTGCAACTGGCCTACAAACAACAATTCTCAGATCTCAGCCTCCTGAGTACCTAGGATTACAGGGGTGAGCTACCAGTGCATGGCAAAACTACTTTTTGTTTGATTGGTTGTGGGGCTTGAACTTAGGGCCTGGGCACTGTGAACTCTTTTGCTCAAGGATAGTACTTTAGACTTTGAGCCACAGCTCCACTTTCAGTTTTTGAGTGGTTAATGACGGATAAGAGTCTCACAGGGTCTTTTTCTGCCTGGGATGGCTTCAAACTCTGATCCTCAGATCTCAGCCTTCTGAGTAGCTAAGATTACAGATGTGAGCCACCAGCCCCTGGCAATCATAACTACTTTTATTTCTTCCCTTTTGCAAAATTCCTTCTCAGCACTACAATACCACAAATAGTGGTAAAGCATGCAGCTGGAATGAGCTACTAAGACAAATAAAAACCCAACGTGGGTACCACTTTGCCAAATCCCAATGGAATTCAAGATTCCTCAAGATTTGGTTTCTGATCTTTCCTAGCCTCATCTCCTACTTCTTGCTAGCCTTTGCAGTCTAAGTTCTGGGTTTGATGAGTTACTTTTGTCTGGTTCTATTCTCATCTGTCTGCCATGGCTGCTTAGTTGTAAGTACAAGGGGAAATTCTGGTGTATAGTGCATCTCCCTTTTTTCTCCCTGACTGAAAAGTTCCTACCCCCTCCTTTCACTGTATGAAAATACATATGTAATAAGACACGCTCACAAAGTGGCTGAGGCAAATCTTTACTATGTCTTCTCACATTTTCTAAAGCAATTTCCGAGAGACTGTAATCTACACTCTTGTTTTGCAGTTTAAGAAAAGGTTATGTTGGGGGGGGAGGATTGGGTGGGGGGGGGAAGGGATGTGAAGGGTAAACAAAGGAGGAGGCTGCAATGCTTGATAAGAAATGTACGCATTATCTTGCCCATGTAATTGTAACCCCTCTGTACAGT